ACTATGTCAAAAGTTATTGCTGTATATGTAAAACTAGGATTATTTATTTCCCCATATACATTATTTTATATTTATCCACATTTTACTTCAGAGGGCTAGACAGAGAAAGACAGAAGATTATGTGGAGAGATATTTAGCAATAGCGGTAAAATTCTGCCTGTGTCCTACCCCAGACTTGCTATTTTTTAATTTTCTCTCTCTTCCATTATATAAACTCTGCACATTATAATGAATCTTCCAAACACTGGCTATTGATCCCACAGACCATTTGCTTACGCCCCCGTTTCCTAGGCATAGATCATCTTAATTTTCAAGCACCTTGGAAGTACCTCAGGCTAATAACGACCCCAAACATAAAAGGGTTTTTATTTTCCTTCCTGCGGTTCCTCTGAGGCAATTGGAATGAATCTTCCGGTCTTGTTTTATGTTTTGCTTCTCCACCTAAGTGGTGTGATGTTCAGGATCTCTGCTGAGCTCCTCAGTCGCTGTCAAACCGCTGCTCTCCTACACAGGCAGAGGGCTTCATTTTAAGCACGGGTTTTATCCCTCTCAGCTAGTTAACAGACCTCTAAACTAGTCGGAAACATTGTTCTGGGGAGGTGCATATTGGGTTTATTTTAAGCAAATTCCTACGAGTCCTGTGTAGGTGCACTATCGGGCCACGACTGGAGCCTGTTTTCAGCTCCTCTTCCAGGAGACCAATTTAATAAAAAAAACCTACAACCACAGCCTGAATTTACTGGTGGAACTTAACAAGTTCCTCGGGCTCCCAAAGCACAGCCAGACCTGGAAGTCCGACTTCTTTGAAGTGTGGGAAATGCCAGTTTTACTGAAATGAGACTGCCTTACTAAATTTTGTTATTGAGCTAATTTTTGTTTGTTTGTTTAAATTTGCAGCATAAGCTGCCCATAATGTTAGAATCTGGTGGAGAAATTACAGTGCATCTCTGCGCAGAAAAGCAGACTAGATTAAAACTGGGAGACTTATTTGGGATGTGAAAAAACCCATCCCTGCATTTTGGAAAATATGCAATAAGCTCAAGTCTAAAGCAGAACAAAGCAAGTAACACTTTCCACCTATAGAAAGGGCAAGAAATATAGTTACCTGTGCAATAATGAAGGATCTGGATTTTACAAGAAAAAAAAAATGAAATGCACTGCTTTTACAAACAAGGCTCTGGGCAATAACGGGTATTACAGAATTCGCCCAGCCTGCCCCACAAATGACAGCGATTTCCCACTCGTGGTCCACAGCCAGGGGTAAACACACTCCCTTCTCCCCATCTTCAGCTGTGGGACCTCACAGACCTCCTCTCCAGAAGGAGCCCCAGTTTCCTACGTGCAAATATGAAGCACGCTTTATTCATGCATTTCAATTGACTGCAACATTAAAAGTCCCCGGGTCATGTTTGTAGGATGCAGTTAACATAAAACTAAGAGCTTACTGCAATCAAAATAAAATATTCCTCACTGGCACTGCTTCAACAATTGACCTAACCTGCAGTCATTTTAAAGCAGTTTAAAATGCATCATTAATCCAGGGTATTCCAAAGTAGCTTTACTAATATGCTATAATAAATTAGAATAGAGAAGCAAGGTTGCAGTTAGCATGCATTTAAAAAAATAATAATATGATAACAGTATATGTCAGAGATGCAGATTAGAGCAACACGAGAGAGAAAGCCTAGGAAACGTGAGAGCAACATGACCTAGGAGTTCCAGAAATATATGTGATGGGATACATTTTCCTTATTCTTCTCCTGGCTGAACATTTTCCCTTCTTTCATGTTTCCTTCCTTTCACTTCCATCCTAACACCCGCAGCTCCTCGCTCGCCATTATCATTAGAAGAGCGTAGCTGGTGTCTCTAACACCCAGATCAGGAAATGGGAGGTTAATCTGCAATAGGAAGGAGGTTACTAAATGGAAGAGAAGGTTTGTCGTTTGATCATTTTAGATCACAGGAGTCAGGAGAAAAGCAGGTTAGCTGAGAGCAGTGTAAAAACAGCAGCCTTGGGCAAGTGTTCTTTGAACAAACTGGTGTACAGTCTCCTCAAGAAACGCGTATCCAAGTCCATTGTCTAAGTAGTAGAAGCAGCTAATGGGAAAGATTGGAAAGAGTCAAGGGCAGACATGAAACGAGCCAACATTTTTATTGCCCACATATTTCAAGACTTAGAAGTAGAGAGGAAAAAAAAAAAAGTTCAGTAGATGGTCTAAAGTTATCAATGTTCGAAACCAAACATAAAGCCAGCCCACATACAATCTGTGCATAAAGAGGAGGGGGGGAGACAAGAAACAAACCAGAAATCCACATTTCTTTTAAAAAAACATAACCTGGGAAATGCCAAAGACACTGTCAACTACCAAATATATACTCCTAAACATAAACTTTCCCATCTATTTGCAAGGTGTCTCACAAAATCATTCCATTCCTCCTAAGATTGTTAGGGCATATTATGCCAAGAAAAATAAACTCCCTCTCCCTGTAGGAAGCAAAAATGGTCTCCTCACTGCCTCCTGCCCATAAGCAAACCTCTCTCTCTGTGTGTATAGATATATATATATAAACAAAAGAAGAATCTCAAAGCCCACACTAATAGCCATTTCTGAAGAATCTGGTCTACTAACAGTTCCTTTAAAATGCACTGAAGTCTCAACGCCCTGCATTTTAGTTCTGAGCTCAATTTGGAAGGGACTTTCCCCCCCGGACTCCCCAAACGAAGGAACCGCAGGACAAGGGAAGGGCAGGTTTCCCCAAGACTCTGGGGGTGGCAGCGAGTACCCGTGTCCCGGGCTGCTCTCCGCCGTCCATCCGTCAGGCACAGCACTGCAGGTGCAGGAGCAGGTTGCTGCCTAGCAGGATGCCATCTCTTTTTCCCTTCTCCCAGCATAAAACAGTTTTTTCTTCATTGCTTCTGAAGGAGACATCTGTTGTGCGTCTTGAGCACTTGAAGAAAAATTCCTCTCTCGCTTGTTCATATTGAATCTGCTTCAACAAAACCACCTTTCTCTTCGGCGGCCGCCCCGTTGTTCTGTGTGGGGTCAGGAGAGCAACCCCAGCTCTTGGAATCTCAGAGCAGTAATTTGCTGAGACACCCCCTTGGTTTTGTAAAAAAGTTAGTCTCACGTTAATAACTCTTTGTCGGGCAGTTTCTGTCCATGCTTTGTACACGGATGGCTTAGACAGCCCCGGGGCATCTTCACTGCTCTCAGTGCACCCCCTCCTCATGCAGCGAGGGGACGGGGAAGGTCACACCAGGCTGGGGACCACGTTTCCATCAGGTTTGGTTCCTAGCCCTCTGCAGCCTGGCTGCTTCCCTGCAGGAGCTCCACCAGCTCCCTGTGCCCAGGACAGGGCTGTCTGCAGGGCCCAAGACACCACTTCCAGCCTCATTTTTAAATTCCATCTGTATTTACCGGCACTTGAAGGTGAAGGCAAGTTCATGTTAGCAAAGCATGGGCCAATACAGATGTTTCGGCTGTGCATTTGTTGGGCTTGTAGCTCTTAAATGGATTCATTTAGGGAAAACGGAGAGATAGAACCACTCTTTTCTCGGAGTGGATAGAACCACTCTTTTCACTATCCAGATCAAGAACTAATATAGACCCATATAAAATCTGACCAGCACTAGGAGGAGTGTCCCTGCGTATTTGGAGAAATTCCCTTATAGCGGCCTTTCAATACCTGAAGGGAGCCTACAGGAGAGCTGGGGAGGGACTCTTTGTCGGGGAGTGGAGTGATAGGACAAGGGATAATGGTTTTAAACTGGAAGAGGGGAGATTCAGATTAGATACTAGAAAGGAATTCTTTACAGTGAGGGTGGTGAGGCATGGGAACAGGTTGCCCAGGGAGGTCGTGGCTGCCCCATCCCTGGAGGGGTTCAAGGCCAGGCTGGATGGGGCTTTGAGCAACCTGGTCTGGTGGGAGGTGTCCCTGCCCAGGGCAGGGGGGTTGGAACTAGATGATCTCTAAGGTCCCTTCCAATTCTAACCATTCTATGATTCTATGATCATTGGGAATCACGTCAAGGGTGCCCTTATGCGGAAAAAGGTTCAATAATGTGATGTGAAACACAGGTTAAATATACTGCAGGAATATTTTGCTGTGAGGCTTCTGCATGCCTTTTTTGAGTTTTCTGCTAATTTTTACAGCCTTCCCTGATACTTTTTATGCCTGTGTATGCTGTGTCTCTAACAATTTTGTAACTTTAGTGGAGAATTCGTTACTGAATGTCATAAAACTTCTGGATTTACATTTTTATACTTGTGTTATAATTGCAAAATTTGATCAGCAATTTGACTGTCACTTTAGTTTATGTTGAGCAATTCTGGAAAAACAACATCCGTTCAAGCCTGTCATTCATTTTGTATCCATATCAAATGCAACTTAAAATGCAGTCATTTATCAGAGCCTGAAAAATAGCAATATATTTCTTGTAGGATGGCATTAATGTGTCTTTTTCACGCATTCCCCATGCTAATGTGAAACTACCACTCTGTAGAAAAAGCAATCTAAAAATTTCCAAGATTCAAGCAATCCAATGTAATAATTTACCCAGCAATCAAATGAGATATCAAAAACATTAAAGAAGCTGAAACATGTTTTTTCCAAAGAAAAAGGCAACGAGAGAGAGAGGCAAGAGATGGAGCTGTTGAAAACAAGAGGGCTTTCACCACTGAAGGGCCACAGCAGGTATTCTGCCTTTCATTAAAAAAAAAAAAAACCACACCAAAATTAAGAAAGTGAATTATTGCCCTGTATTACATTCTGTGCAAGGCAGCTGACTCGGAGCTGGGCAGCCACCGAAGGACACTGGTGCAGCACAAGATTTGGTACAATTTACAGTCTCTTCTCAAGCCATCCAGCTCTGCCAGGCACTGCCAACACCTTCCCACGGGTAAGTCCGTGTGTGCAGAAGGGAGATTCCAGGTGCTGGTACCTGTTGGAGCTACTCCTGCGGGTGAGCATCTCTCAGACCTCCCAAGGTGTGACCTCACCTTCTCCACCACCACCACGCACAGCTCCAGCAGCATCACCCAAAGGTCTCACGGCAGACACAGCCCAGGACTGGGTGGCAAACAGAGAGACAAACTGCCTGGGACTGACACCTCTCTTATCTCATGCAAAACTGGGAGATGTTAATCACGGCGAGGCAAAACCATGCGGGATAAAATACGTCTCTGGCCCTGCGGCAGCTGTTAGCGTGGCAGGAACACACGTGAGGGGCCCGCATTGATCCCCCAGGCACTGGCTCTGAACAGACACGGGGAGCCCTTGCTCTTCATCCACACACAGACCCTGGCACAGGCGGGCATACAACCTGCCTGCCTGCCCCAAACCTTTGCTCGCATTCTCCTAATCTCTACTTAATTTATGCTATTTTCAGAGAGCAACAATAAGTAAACAGGCTACAATTTTCTAAACAAACTCATCCATTATTCTGTTTTAAGCACAAGTATGAAAAATTGTGCTCCTTTAAGCAAATGAGCACCTTAAGTTAGTCTGATAAATCTCTGCTTACACACTTCAATGAGCAATCCAATTTCTAAAGCACCTGCATTAGCAGGGGTGTCCTGACCAAACTCCAGTGCAGAGAATTCCTCTGCCTGGCTCCATCTCTTCGCGGTATCGCAGCCTGCCATAAACCACTGCGTAATCTGTGTAAAACACAGGAGTAAACTCTTAAATCCCTGCTGCATCCTAAACACAGCATCAATGTTTTCCCACAGATCAGTGAACATTTAAGTTGTATGGGCCAGACTGGCCCATCTACAATGTCCAACGTGCACTGTAAATTTCACCAAAAACAAACAACAAAAAAAACCAAACAAACATTAAAAAACCCCAAACAACTGGCAAACTGTAGGAAACTGACCCAGAGAGGGTAACTCTTGGGTGACCCCTTCAAGTAGGTTTGCTCTTCTGTAGCGTTTTTTTCACAAAGAGGAGGGAAAAGATTTCTCTGTCGAGGACATATTTTGAGAAACTTCACCCAGGAGAGCCCATCACCCAGTGAAACTCCCCCAAACGTGGCAATTGTCAAAACCAGCTTGAAACCAATGAATCACAACAGAGCTTGACCTTAAAAACCAGTTTACACTGGAATTCTCAGAAAGGAGTTGACATCTCCTAATAAAGCCTTTTTACGTTTTAAAGAAACATTAAAAACCTGGGACTGCTATTTCTTCCAGTCGCGTAACTCGGTCTCTTGACAGTGAGGAACATTCACAATAGACGTGGGATTTCTAGCGGGGGATTCCTGAGCTGCATTGTGTTTAGCTTGTCAGCCTCCCAGTTAATTTTTTCAGCCTTATTTAAAGTAACCAAACACGTTGCTCCTGGCCCCGATCCACACAAACAGTGAGTGTGTGCCGAGTCCCGCTGCAGTCAATAGCTATAAATGTGTGCATTGGCGCATCGCTAGACAAAGACCATAAGTTACCTGTCTGAGTGTAAAAACCAAGAAAAGAAGGAAGAGAGCTGATTTGTTCTCGAGCAGATGGATGCCTACACCCAGGGTTCCATCCCCGGCACGGGCAGCCTGGCTCCAGCCGGGATGTGCCCTGGGCACCGCTGCAGGTCCCCGACACAGAGACAGGAGCCATGTCCCCCGACACCCCCCACGCCAGCAGATGGGGAAGAAGCCAGCAGCCTGTCCCAGAGAGGGGACACAACACAGCCTGGGTGTCCCCCCCTCATCACTGAGCAGTCCTGCGTCCCACGGCTTCCATGGGGCCATGGAGTCCCTCAGCAAGCCCAAAGGCTGGGCTGCACACAGGCTTCTGACCCCGGGCTTCCATTTGTATGACTCTGAAATGGCTGTGCTTGGGAAAAGAAGGAAACTACACACAATAGTATTAGCAGAAATGCCTCACAAACGCCGAGTTAAATGGAAAGAAAACCAAATATAGAAACCAGCCCATTTTATCCCGTAAGATACACTCTGTTTAGTAACATTTTTGAAAATTGATAGGTATTAAATTAACCACAGGAGGGCTCCCTCTGGTACACTGAATACGATGGAAACATACTGTTAATTGCCAAAAATAATATTGTATCTTAAAAGTAACAAAGGTTTTAGACCTTAAACGATATTTTCCTCAGCAGGCTCCAATATATACAGGGGGAATAAAATTACACAGGAACAACTGCGATAAAGAAGTGAATTACAGAAGTGTTAACTGTATGACTCTTAAATACTTACATGGCAAACACAGGTTGCCAATGCTCTGCAGTTTAAGGCTCTAAGCTCTGTTTTGCCATGTACGGAGTGTGCCCAGCACAGCGATGGACAAGCTGGGGGATACAGGAGGATGGACAAGCAGGGGGGATACAGGAGGATGGACAATGGACAAGCTGGGGGATACAGGAGGATGGACAAGCCGGGGAGGATACAGGAGGATGGACAAGCCGGGGGGGATACAGGAGGATGGACAATGGACAAGCTGGGGGATACAGGAGGATGGACAAGCCGGGGGATACAGGAGGATGGACAAGCCGGGGGGGATACAGGAGGATGGAACACAGCAGGTCCCGGCTGCTGCTCTAGGGGAGACACAGGGACTCCCTGGGAACAGCACAGACATGGAAACACTGAGCAGAGAATGTGAGGCTGCACTTTATCCCTGGTTTTTCTGGCTGGCCATGCACCCTCCTCAAAGAGTGCAAATTAACGCCAGCAATAGTCAGCAAACGCCAGCAATTTTTTTTGTGTGTAGACTTGGGCCTGTTGGTCACTCTGTACTTTATTACCCCTCTGTTAAAGAAAATCAGAGCTCTCTCTCCTCACGAGAGTGTGCCGAAAGCAAGGTGGGTCACGTAGAGAGCGGCACCAGGTCTGTGGGTCACCGCAGCCAAAGGGAACGGGCATCTCTCCGTGTCCTCACCAAAACAGACCTAGCACAACGACTGTGTCGCTGCTGAAACCAACTGGAACACTCTGGTAATACAGCTAAGTGGGGAAAAAGAGAAAGTGCCACTTCCCAGACGCAGGTTTCACGCAGCCCCACAAAGAGAACTGAGCAGCCCAAGCTCTGCCCTTGGCTGGCACCAGCAGCGAGTGAGCAGTCAACTCTGCTGGGGCGGTGGGGACCCTCAGAACCTGCGCACGAAGCAACAGAAAACACCGTGCGTTGGGGGAAATTTAAATCTTCACCTCTTTCACGGACTACAGAAACTAATGACTGATGGCAAGGCAGATTTCAGGCTGAAACCCCTCCCTGGATTCCGGAGCCAAAGTTAGGACTTGCCCCCAGGCTCGGAAGGTGGGTTTTGTGCCCGTTTGCCAACTTCAACACAGACCAACCCCTGCGAGTGCCCATAGCAGGGGTGAAACTCAGCCAGAAGTCTACCTTCCCTCCCAGCCTTACACCTCCTGAAGCACCCCAGTGACACCCCTGGGAGTAGGTACCACACAGCATCTGGGACTCAGGGATGCTGCTCCTCAGTCCCATTCTAAGTGAGGGGATCCAGCACTGGGAAGCAGGAGATGACAACCCAATTTAAAAAGTCCCAAACGCAGTTGAAATGTATTCACCAGGGGTTCCATCCCCGGACTGCCCTCCTTTCAGCCAGCCACGCTGGCATCCCAGAAAAACAGAAAGAAACATCTCTCACACCACTTTTGACCAAATACCTGTATTATAGGCAAGCTGCTGCAGGAAATCTGGTTCTTTTGCATGAAGTTACCTTTCGCATATTGCAAGTATATAAACAGACAAGGATAAAGCCCTACTGTGGCCAAATGAAGTAGCACTAACTTCAGACAGCCAGGGCTGGAGGAGGATTACATCCAAAGCTTGTGCTGCATCCATGCTTTTCCTCCGCACAAAACAAAACTGAAATTAGAAGTTTCAACAGCATAACATAGTATCCAACACCCTGGCCTTGGGACTTTGGTCAAAAGAAGAGATCAGACTAGATACCTATATTATATACATTAATATTTCAGTGACCAAAAAAAAAGACAAACTAACTGTAAAAACTGTAATCAAAACTCAAGGATACTATAATGTGTTAAGGAATTTAGAAGACTTTTTTTAAAAGGCAATAAAAATACCCTATTCAGTTTCCTTTATTCCCACAGTACAACAAGGAAAACTGACGAATTAAACCTGGAATTGATTATAATTATTTTCTCACGTGTACCACTTTACTGTCAATCCGTATTTTATGAAGAGCTCGTTGTTCCATGGAAACTCAGACCATAATATCTCTACCTTCACCCTTGAAGTTCTGCTTGTGATAAACCAAAAGTAAATAACAATTACCATAATATAAAGACCAAGTCTATCAAGCTCCTGAGTGAAAACCTTAGGAAAATATGACAGGTTAAAAAAATAAAAACCAAGTTTGTATGGAACACTTAGAGGTTAATAATGCTTACAGAATTAACGTACAGAGATCAAAATCATTAGCACTGTCTGAAATCAGGGTTGTCAATACCATTTTCTCATCTTTTAATTTTCCCTAAAGAAGAAAAGAAGAGCTTCTCTGCGCAGAAACAGAATTTGCACGATGGCAAAAAATGCTCTTATGTAACTTGGTGACACTAGAATTTCTCGGTATCACTAAAGCACCCAAGTGCCCTCTTCTTGTCACGGGGAATGACAGAGGCCCCAGGGGACACCGCTCTGCACATGGACAGGAGCCCTTTGCATCGTGGGCTGCTTTTGAGCATCGTCTCCGCTTCCTGCTGCCCGGGCACCAAACCCCCTCAGACACCCCCCTGCGCCCCGGTGCCGGGGAGAGGCTGTGTCAGGAACCTCTGCTGCGCTCCAGCGGGGCCCACCTCTGAACGTGTGTCACTCACACCTAGCACGGAGGCACTGAGCACCCCAAGGGCAAAGAACGACTGCACCGAGCAGGGAAGTTCCTGCATCTCCTACCAACTTAATAGGGGGGAAAAAAGTACTATTTCCACCATGATACTATTCCACTATTCTAACGTAGTCGTTTCCAGTGTGACCTCATTTCTAGTGTCGTCTCGAAACACACACACCACCTTCTTCCAGTTTCCTTTAGACTTAAGAGC